GTTACAGAAGAGTTCAGGGGATAAGTGCAAACAGCAAAACACTTAGATAGCTGTAGATAGAAAGCAGTGTGTTGACACCTTTCATTATATCAGATATACACTGTGTTCATTGACCTGTTAACATTTTCTGTGGTATCCATCCTCTGTAGAACATTTATATCAGTGTCACAGGAAAGCTTTTTATTTCAGTGTAGAATGCTCAGTTCAATTGTAATCTCAGAATACCTTGTAACATAATCCAGCAACAATAAAATATTGGTACAATATCTACTGTTACAATCAAAAATGAAACATCTGTTTTGGGCAAGTTTTCTTCATTCAGACAGTAGCAGCTTTTTCTAAAGAAATGTTTGTTAATTTTCTAAAACACACCAGAAGAAACACAACTAGCATCTATGCAAGTTTATTTTTACCTGTAAGTCAGCTTTTTATTTATTTAAAACATATGAACACATCTTTCCATTTGATGTTTATCCATTTATTGAGCAAAGAAAACTTCAAAGATTCTTCCTTCTCTCTCTCACAGCTTTCCTCCAGGAATTGACCACTGTGAGGAGGATGAAGTTTCTTTCCTTTCCAGCTTTCTCAAAGTTTTCATCAGCGAATGCAGATGAAAGGAGCTACTTAATGTCAGGTTCAAGTCTTGTCTTCTTATGTTTGAGATATTCCAATTCAGTTTCTTCAAATTTTTTTTTTCCACCTTTCTATGGCTTTTGCTTTCTGAACTTCTCTTCTAAGTACATTCAGGACACCCCCAGCATGTCTAATGTGGTCAATTAAAAAGGGACAGGCATTTTTAGTTTTCTGCAATAGTTTTTGTTTAAATAAAAGCACCTTTTGACACTGGCCTGTCCATGAGACACAGAAAGAAGAGTTTTGCTAACTCTTCAAATCATCTGGAATTGTTTCTTGTTTGACAGGAGATAGAAGTATAAAGTATCCAGTCTGTTTTGCTCTTTCTGACACATATAAGCTCTTGAATGTCATGAAAAATGTGAAATTATTTGTACTGCCTGAGAATACTGTCACAGTCCCTTTCTTCAACTTTGCTTGCATTTAACAGACATTTTAGACAAGATGAAATATAAGAACACTGGATGATGCATTTAACAACATTACTTTCAGATTCAAGTAGCTCATTTTCCTAACTAAGTTATAAGTTAAGGGGAACTTCTGAGTAATTTTCATAACAACAGCTTTGAGGAACTGCCTGCATTCAAGTCTAAAGCAAAGCCTTTATCACAAATTTTTGAAGCCTTCTTTAAATCATTAAGGACTTTCTTTGTAATAAAACCAGCATCAATTTGAAAGGTTCCTTTAAAATCTTTTTGTCTGTCAAATCCAGGTTTGCATCGTGTATTGGTCCAGCTCTGTTTTCCAGTTGTTCTGAAGTGACAAATTTTTCCAACAATCCCCTGACAAGATCATAGAGATCTGCAACCATAAAAGGCAATATTGATTTATCTTCCTGGAATTCTTTGAGAAAAGGTTCAATTTTTCTAGCAACTAAGAGAAGAAACTGTGCTTTGGGGATGAAGAGAAGGGAACTAATAACTTCATCAATACTGTCACACGAGTTTTAATTTGGTACATTTTTTTGCACATCCACACGTTTTAAGATGAGATAGCAACAACAAGCACATTTGCACAACATAGATGTTCTCCAGCCATTGGTGTTTACAAAAACTTTGGTAGAAGGTCCAAGCATCCAATCTCACTTTTGAAGTCATCAGATCATGCTGGAGAATCTTTGAAAAAAAAAAGTAGAAATTTGCTATAATTTCTTCAAATTTCTAGAATTTTGAATTATGGGTAAACTACAAGATCCAATTTGCAACAGGTGTCTTTTTGATTGAGTTTACTAGCTTCAGTTGATAACATTTCATGTAATTTTCAATTAACAATGAGGCCATTCATGGATATTTGCAATAAGATCTTAGAACCGAGGTCTGTGGCAACAGGAAACAGCTGGTTAAATAGATAAGTGGCAATAAATCTTCCTAAGAACTCTGATTTGATTTATCTTGTGTAGACAGTTTTTTCATCCAAAAGGTGAGCATTAACGTCACATTGTTTCATCTCGAGGGCTTGTTAAAGCTCTCATCAAAATTCTGAATTTTTTGCTTCAGTATGGAAGTGAAATATGGATCTAATCCATGTATGGCTAAGTATGATGTTTTGTATTCCCCACATGAAAATATTTGGGCAATTTCATGGTCAGGGAACATACTCTTTGAAAAGTTCTGTGGTCCTTTCATTTGAATGGCAGTCAATAGTTCTCAAACACCATAAAACTTCTAATCTTAAAACATCAGTAAAAAAAACAAATGACTGGATGCTGGATGTTGAACTGATGGTAGACTGTTTTTTGTTGTTTTTTTAAGATAAGCAGTTTCTGTTCAGGTAGTTTGAAGAAGGTGCAGATAGTAGTATTGTTGCTTGATATTGCTTTCAATCTTTTCATGGTTTTCTGCATGTTTTTTGTTTGTCATATAATTGAACAAAACTGCTTCTCTTGAACTTTGACACGGTTCACATTTTGCTTTTCTAACCATTTCTAGTAGTTTTTATTTGAAAACCAGCTTGTTATAAAACTATACTGGCCTGGCTTTTTTCAAACCTGTAGGGGGATGGAAATAAAAATTAAGTTCACAATACAAACAATGTTCATTTGATTATGTTACATTGGTCTTTCAATATTATATTATACATAAATGTATTAAATTAATAGGTAATGCTGCTAATTTTTTAAACCTGGTAGAATTTATTATACAATACTTATCCTAAGACTTCTACTGAGATTTATTTTATTATGTATTGCTATTTATTCATTAAGCAACTTTACTGGTATTATAATATATACACATTATAATTTTGCAATTATTGTTTTGAATGTGAAGTCTGTTTTAGTAGGATTCCTACAGTTTCAGAGAATTCCTTGCTACAAATAGATCTAGGCCTAGCAAAAATAAAATGGCCTTTAAACTGATGCCATACATGATAGACCATGTTTGGTTTGGCAGCACTGGATGTCCAATACATTGTTAGGCCTTGCATTATTTTGGAAACTTTTTCACTAATCCCAGGTCTTAATGCAGCAATGCAAACACAAGCAAATATATATACAAAGTTGCTGTCTATATAACATGACATGTGTACCATGCATGTTCTGGTGTGCAAAAACCTGTTTTGGAAATAAACAAAGAAGCTGGTATATTTTACACAGCTCACAAATTTATCAATGATTTTACTTATGCTGTAGCTCTAATAAAAGATTAAATGAAAAATTTATTGGTGTGATTTATAATGTATTATGTTACTTCAACAGATGCTGGCTGCAGATTTATCACTTTCTTTCTATAACTGGCATAAGTAAATAGAAGTACAACAAGCGGTAACAGCACAAATTAGATCTACGCTTAGGGTTAACAAATACTGATATACACATGTGAGAAGTGTTAGATAAAGGTTTAATGAAAAAGGTACAGTCTATTATTAGACCTACATCTGAATCCTGCAAATACAACTGAGTGAAGACTTCAATTCCAAGTTAACTCTCTTCACTTTTTATTTATACATATGCCTATAGTCATAAGATAGTCTATAGGAAAATTGGCTGATTTCATTGAAAATCAGTGGCACTAATAGACCCCTAGATATAATAATGAACACGCTTTCTGTTTAATCTTTGGAAAACTATATCTAACGTTAGGTCTATAGTTAGATCAATTAGATTTATCTGCTACAAGTATAACTTGATTTGCTTCTTATGTCATGCATTAATATTAGTCAATTAGGCCTTTAGCACTTAATGTTAGCCCTATATCTATCTGTACAGTTTCAATTAGGTGTCTATAGTCTTATCAATTTAACAATTTTTACTATGTCATAATGTAAATCCAGATCTAGTTAATACATTAGGCCTAGATACTAACATTTAAGATACTAGATTCTAATGTTAGTCATGTTAGTGTCTAATTTTGTATGAATGAATTAAGATCTAGCCAATGCATATGTTCCTAAAAGACCTATATGGTATAATATATTATGCAAAATTGTAAACTTATAATATAAATTAGCATTTTTTATTATCTTATAACCAAACTTGCAATGTTTAATAAAGTATTTAGAAAAAAACAGCAACTTACCCAGGTAAGTCATGGTATCAACAGATCAGCTAAAATATGGTAATCATGCTCTTGGACCTGTGTAGCATGTCAGATGATAATGTGCATGTACATACATGGCAAAACAGTCCACTCAAATGATACCTGATGTTTTCAAACTGTTCACTTATCTTTAAATTTCATTAATATTTTTGGGTCAGATTGTTGTCTAAATTTTAAAACTTTTCCAAAACCTTTCAGAATTTTCCATAAAATTTCCAGGCCTGTAAATGATATTCAAAAATTTAAAAACTTTTCAATGATTTCCAGAACCATGGGAATTCTATCTATATTCTTGTGCCCTTTTTCTATGACTTGGTGTCGAGTTCAAATATCTTAACATTTGTTAGACAGCTGGTGCTTTCTTTTCAAAACTATGGACACACATAACAAAAAAATAACTCAAGTGTATGCACAACGGCACTCATCAAAATGATACTGCCTGAAACTAACACAATACAAAAAATAAAGACAAAAATATTAGACTTCTATTGCTAGCAATTGTTTACAAAAATTAAAATACTGACACATGGTAGATAATCTTGACAATAAAGAAATAGTGTAATGAAAGACTAAAACTTCAAATGACATATGTTGATTAAGACACATGGGGAAAACATTGACTATTTTTCTTAGATAACTCACTTCAACTCATTTGTAATAATTCGTTATGTTAACTCTGCTAGAGCTCACTTTTAATGGTTAATTATGCAATATACACTGCTGGAGTACCATGAATTATACATTCTGACAGAGATTTAGCAAGTTAATTTAAATTAGCACATTAAATTACCTTATTGAGGACTAGCAAGAGAAGTTACATTTTACCCCTACCTGATCCTGACCCTGAGGTGGTCATTTCAATCAAATCCTTAATGGTGGTCCCTAACATAGGTTCATGGGCATCCATATTCAACTCCAATTGTTGTTGATACAGATGAAATCTCTGCCGCTGCTGGCAGGTCCAGATGACAATCAGTACTATTATACAGATCAGACATATTGGACAAGTGACAACCAGAACTACCTCTAATGTACCCAACTGTTTACTTTGTGTTTCCACTGTGCTTGCTACAAGAGAAAAAAAAAAAAAAGATAGAAATACTTTAGAAAAAAAAATAACTGAGAAGAACAAACAGTACAGTCTGTTAGGATGTGTCCAGGTGATCAGCAGATGTTAATTTAAAGCTGTCATGTCAACTAAAGTAACAGGAGTTATATACTAATAAAAGGTTATTAACTGGATAATGAGACCACAGATGTTATGCACACATTAGTGACTCACTCTAAAAAACAAGTAGTGAAATAATAAGATCAGAAATTTCAAATGCAACATTCATGTTGACATAATTTTATGTGGGGAAAAGGTCAACTTACAATATTGGGTTGTTTCTGGAGCTAGAATCTAGCTCTGAATAAGTTTCTTAATAAAGAGAAAACTAAGAAATATATAAAATCTAAAACACACACAACTAATTCCAAAATAAATAATGAACTAAATGTATGGAAATAAAAAGAGCAAAGAACTACATTTTTTTAAGCTAATGGCTCTAAACATTCTCAATATAAAAAGTAGAGCATAAGGATTGTTTGTATGGTCATCTGAATGACAACTTATGCACACAGTGAGCTAAACAGCCAAGTCAAAGACCCCCTACAGCTTGTATAGTTGTCCCTCATTACGAATTATGAACCAGATGGAAGGCAACAAGATGGCAGCATCTACCACTTGTACTGGCTTCTCTTAACCAAACAGCAGTATCAAATTATCACTCTTTTTATTTACCCACATCTTAAAAGTGGGCTTAGTAACACTTCATCTTGAACCTGAGACCCTCAAATCCCCAATATAATATGCTAACAATGCTGCCAAGCTTGAAACTAGAGTAAAAAAAAAAAAGAACGAGAGTGTGTGTGCGTTGTCTTATAGCAAAGCCACATTGGGCTATCTGCTGTGTCCACCGAGGGGAATCAAACCCCTGATTTTAGCATTGTAAATCTGAAGACTTACTACTATCCCAATGGGACAGCAAAAAAAAAAAAGTATAACTATTAAAATGGACAAACCACTTGAATGTGTGACCAAAATAATTTGCATTGGTAATAATAATATTGAAAATTATCTTAAATACTATAACCAATACCATTAATAAAGCTAACTTTAAAGTAAAATGGAATATGTAATTAACTAATATCATTAATTGTTTGTTACTTTGTACAAACATGATCATGTATAACTATTTATATGTATAACTATTAAAATGGACAAACCACTTGAATGTGTGACCAAAATAATTTGCATTGGTAATAATAATAATAATATTGAAAACTATCTTAAATACTATAACCAATACCATTGATAAAGCTAACTTTAAAGTAAAATTGAATATGTAATTAACTATAATATCATTAATTGTTTGTTACTTTGCACAAACATGATCATGAATGACTTTTGGCACAAACATAATTCACTAGACCCAGATATACTGAAATTTTATATTAATTAATGAAAGGTTTGCCCTGCAAAAAATAAGTATATACATTTATGATAAACAAAAACTGCTACAATTAAGTGCAAACTATAATACTGACTAAACAGCAAAAAACTTAGTCACAGCAGGGTATGCATTGTTACAGGTTGTCACGAAAAAGTTAGCTAATAGAGATTTAAATAATATTGTAGTTTTTTCATTCTTTCATTATACAAAAATAACAACATGATGAATTTAAGCCTTTAAATTGCAAAGTCTCACATACATTTTTTCATACATATATATAGATAGAAACTTACTAAAAATTTGTGTTGTTGTTTTATGTAATTTCATAAACATTCAGATACATGCAAACGCTAAATAGTTACTATTTAGAGTTGGGAGGTTAGTATTATTAGCTAATCATTGGCTCTAATAATAAATTAAGTTAAATTAATCACTTAATACAGTGCTCCTAGAACCATGATGCCTACAAGTATACAAACAAACAAATAAGAAAAAGGGTTTGGTGGTGGGTAATGCCAGGCAGTTGCCTTTAGTCAGAAGTTCAAGAAAAAAAAAAACGTTGGCAGTGGAAGCTACCAGACAGTTGCTTTCCTTCTAGTCAGCAGTTCATGAAGAAAAAAAAAAGTTGTTGGTAGGTGTTGCAAAACAGTTGCCTTCTCTCTTGTGAGTAGTTCAAAGTGAGTGACAGTGGTAAATAGCTTTAGTCTCTTTGCCACTACAAAGACAGGGAAGTAAGTTCAGTGAGAATGGGAAATGAACCCAAGGCCTTTGAATCATAAGGCGTATAATATGTCTCAAGTTCAAACCGAGATTAAGAAATATATTGTAATAATATGGAAATTACAACAAGAAAATCTCCTGCCCAACTAGTGGTCATATTACTATCCTGAAATTAGGCCTGAGAATGGGCTTTGTTTGTGTTTGTATATGAACTTTCAAATAGATAAGAGTTAAAAATTCATGAATAAATTACATGAACATAGCTTTGTCTCATAACAATAAAAGTCAAATAATTATGAAACATTATAATTTTTTGTGGTTTTTATATAAAATTGTTAAAATAAAATTGAGAATAATGTTTCAAAATAACGTTTGATGATAAACATCTGACTGGTTGAAACAAAGGATATATATATAAAAACTAATAATTTGACTAATTTATCCTAATAATCTAGTTGTTTGAAATCACAGTTCTGACTGTTTAACAACAGAGTTTTACTATGTGGAAAAGGACTTGTGGTATTCCAAGACTTCAGAATATAGAACACACAGGTATCTGATCATCACACTAACAAGAAGTTTAAAGATTGGATTAGTGAAAGGAAATGTGACCAACTTGTTGGCAATAAAAATACTGATGTTAGACTAACTTGCAAAAACAAACTCGTTTTATTCTCACAAATGGACAAGTTGAAAGTTTAAAACAACAACTAAATTATGAAATTTTTCTTTAAAGAGTAATGATTAAAATTCACTCTCTGCTTGTTCAACATTAAAAACTTCTCCATTCTAAAAACTAAATTACATTTTTTGTTGTCTTAAGTGATGGTCAGAATTAAAAGTTGAAATGATGGAAATTAAATGCTTGTTTCTTTATGAACATATTCTAGACATATAATGGTTGGAGATGGCTTGAATGGGTAATGAAGAAAAACTTTAATATAAGTTTAACATAACAGCAAAAATGATGACAAAACCTTGTCGAAACGTTGTACATT